GCAAGTTTTTTGGGCAGTGTAGAGTAGCGCTTGTTGTTTCTCCGATCACAAATGCAGACATTGTTTTATGTTTACGCGGCGCGATACAACGCAACGTGTAAAAAGACAGTATAAGTCATTATAATCCGTAATTATGTCCCCACTGGATGCAACAAATGCCTCGTTTATAATGGGTTTTAATGTTTTTGTCTCGTCGCTCCGGCCGGACAGGGCATCACAGTATGGTAGGGGCGTAACATTTCCATCATACGCTTGAGGTATTCGGCCAATCACAACGCACTGGATAGCTGGCCAATCAGAGCACACCTCGCTTTTCAGACCGATGAGCTTTGTAAAAATCGACGCGTTTCAGAAAGGCGGGGCATAGAGGAGAAACAATAATGTACAGTATGTGGAAAATAATGTGTTTTTTTAACCTTAAACCGCATAAACACATTTCATTACACCAAATACACCAAATAATGTTATTTTTAGCAACATCATATGACCCCTTTAACTAATGATTATTTTGCTAATCAAGTAATCTACTGATTACTTTGATAAGTGAGTAATCTGATATTTTTTAGTAATACAATATAGAACTAAGTGGAAAAACAGGCTTTAATATTACTATTTATATATAAAGTAACGATGGGGTAATAATAATTGGCCTCAAATAAAGTATTAAAACCAAGTACATGGTTTTGAACAACATTGTTGAATACATAATGTAATATGCCTATATTATAACAAATACCTGCAGAGGGCGCCAACGGCCTGGTGATGTTAAATGTGATTCAGTGACGTTTAAATCTATTTAATTTTAATATTTGGCCACATGCAAAGTCGGAAATTTTTATTTTGAAATCACAATGTACAATAAATCGCATATTTAGAAATATGTTGTATTCTCCTGTGTTGGCATAGGTTTAAATAATTAACAAATCAAGTGAGTTTTCCCAGATGAACGTTAAGCAACCCAAACTCACCGCACATGCAGAGGAAGAGTTTACCCCCTTTCACACATACAGTCTTTACTGGTAAGTTACCGTTAAGAGACCATGTGTGAACAGGACCTTTTCAAAAGTCCCTATAAATTCGTTCTGGCAATCATATCATTCTTATGGAGATGGCTTGATTACTCTGAACTGTTTACAAAGCTCCGCTGCTTTTTAAATAGCTTTCTATGTAAATATGACATTAGATGGAAATCTTTGAACATTGCGCTTCGCAGATTTTTCAATCTCTCGAGACCCAGGCTTCTTTTCCATTCATCAGCTGTAGGGCTGTCGCGATTCGTCGATTTTATTAGACTATTCGATTTTTAAAAATCCTCGACTTCATTTTGCTCAGGTCGACTAACCGGCAAATTACCGGAAGTGAAGCATTTCACGGACGAGAATCCATAAAACACATTATGAGACTGTTTCCCAAGGCTGCATGATATATTAAACCCATTTAAAAATCATAATTAAGCATAATTGTGAATTCACAAACGCTACGATTTAATTAAGCTATTGTTCACTTACATCTATTTTTATTACCACAAAATTTTTTTAGTATAATTATAGGGCCCGATGAAATCAGTTTTATTTCCAAATTCAGTTTTCTTTCCATTTCCATTTTCATTTTTCTATACTCTATTTTAATGGTTAAATTCAATTTTATTAATCAAAAATCCTGTCTAATTAATTGAGTTTTACAGTTTTATCTTTACCAAATTCTGCTTTCCATTATTTTCTGGATTCCATTTTAATGGTTCCATTAAATTGTAATAATCAAAAGCATCTCCAATTAATTCATTTTAAGTTTTTTTTTTTTTTTTTTCAGAAAAACTGCACATTTACATTTTG